AATGGGGCTGGCTCCATGGCCTAGTGGTGAAGGCAGCCGGATCCCATACGACCAACTGTGCAGTATGAGTCCTAGACCTTATAGCCTGAGAAACACACTGGGCATGTGTACATGCATGTCCTAAATCCTGAAAGAAGGGAAAAAATGGAGAAGAGAATGCAGCCTGACCATTCCACATGGGGGTACTTTCTCCCTCTCCCTCTCTCCATGTCTCTCTCTCTGGCGCACTCGCATGCACCTTCTAGGGGGAAAAAGCAATGAATGTTCAATGTAGAAAAATTCAGAACAAAGTACTCTCCCATTATCTGTGGGATCTATACTTTAAGACCCCAGGTACAGTCAGTACTGAATGGGTAGTACTGACCCTGCATAAACTATGTTTTTTTTCTATACATGTACACCTATAATAAAATTTAATTTATAAACTAGGTACAGTAGAAGATTAACAAGAATAACTAATAAGGGGGCCAGCAGATGTCACAGAAGTTATGTCGCTGGGCTCCCACCTGGCTGATTACAGTTTGAGTCCCAGACCTGGTGGTTTCAAACTCACACCAGGCACATGTGTGTGCATGCCTAAGATCCTGGGAGTGAAACAGAGCAAGAACCCCCTAATATATTTTCTAGGGTTCCTGAAATATAAAGTCCATTTGCATTGTAATGGCCCAGAGTAAGAAGTAAGCCTTCAGACTTTGGTTATGATAATGACCAGCATGGACCATGGGTGACGGCCATTTGACCTCTAAAACTCTCACTTAAAGGAAAGAAGGTTTTCATTTCAATGTGTAAGATGTTTTATAGACTGGAAACTGCTGGTTGTGAGCTCACCAGGCTGAATGGTTCCAGACACCTGAAGAGGAATTTGATTATCTAAGGCCTCACCAATCAAGAATGCCCACGAGCTGATCACGCCCTCTTGAACCAATCACTGAACTGATCATGTGCCTGGGACCTCTGCCCCGAATTTTGCCCTTAAAAACGCATGTGGGGAACATCTCGGGGAGACTGGGTCTTTTCAGCATGAGCTGCCCGCTCATCACACCATGTGCCTATGGCTTGGTTTTATAGCGCTTGGGCGAGCGAACCTGATTTGAGTTAGGTAACAGGAGAAGAATGGAGAAGGGATTGCAGCATGGCTATGCCTCCTGGGGGGGTGATTTCTCGCTTTCTGTCTGCCTGTCTCTCTCTCTGTCTCTCTAGCAAGTGCACACACCCTATAGCAAAAATCTCTCTTAAAATAAAAAAGAATAACTATTCATAAATAATTAATAAAACTGAACAATTATAACAATATAGATAACAGTTCTATGACTGTGGTCTCTTATTCTCAAAATATCTTTTTTTCTTGTTTTTATTTTTTTTTAAATATGGGATGCATGTTCCTGCT